CGAAGAAGGAGAGGAAGCTGGCATAGATGCAGATGAGGGGGGTGGGGAGGGAGGTGCACTGGTACGGGGTTCCTGCTGTGACACGCGGGCCGACAGGGATGAATAGTCGGTATGGAGGGCCGTGAATTTGGCCTCGAGTCTGGCCTCGAATCTGGCCTGCATGTTCTCGAGGAGAGCCAGTAGGCGATCCGATTGGGCGGCTGGGTCCGAATTGGTGTCCATAGGGGTGGAAATGTGAGCCGAATGCCAGGGTATCGCGAGCTAGGAGCGCAAGCCCTTCACTGATGGAGCGGGAGGGGCTCACCGATTCTGCACTCTGCATGGAATCGACAAATGAAGAAGATGAAGATGATGTCGAGGGAGCACCGTGACGAGAGGGACGAGTTGTGGTCGTGGTCGGTGCGTCAAAGCGAGTTAGTCGATTGGCAGCACGAGTGTCTCAAGCGCGATTTTGGAGTGCGCGCTGTTGGATGTCACGGGGAGCCAGGATGACACGCAGAAGGGGGGGTAGGGGACTAGGAAAAGAAGGCGCGTAGAAATGGAGTCTAACAAATTTCTGAAGTTGAATGAAGAAAACTTCAGAGTTAGGTTAAGGGAGAAAGAGGAAAATTCACGATTCCAGCAGAAAAATGAGAAGAGATTTTTCACAGAATGGCGTGGGGCATAAAGGAAAGCACGCACAAGACAATCACAAAGTCAAAATAAAATTCCGAAATTATTTGGACGTAAATTCAAAATTTAAACGAAATTGAAGCAAAATTCAAGGAATTTCAAAAATATTCGTAAAAATTTCCGAAAGTTCGAGGAGATGATGAAAGATGTAGAGATGAGTACAAACGAGGATTTTGAATCAAAATGGAAAATTCCTTAACGTATTTCTAAAATTAAAAGAATTTGGAAGGTGATTTGAAATAAAAATAGAAGACCAATTCCGAATTGAAGAATTTACGATGAAATGGCAGAAAGAATTTAATGACGGTCAAGTAAATTGAATTGGGCGGAATTTCAAAATTATTTAGATGAAATTAATAAATTGTATCGACATGTTGTAAAATTGAAAAGAATTTCAAAGAATTTCCAAAAGAATTCCAAAAGAATTTAAAAAAGAATTGCAGAATTTAGTTCATATTTATTCAATCTCATATATGTCTGAGGATGGAATTTTACGAGGGATAGAAAGTAGAAGTAGAGTGGACGTCAGAAGGATTGAATTGAGTAAATTCCGAAATTTATTTCACGAATTTCTGAATTAAAATCAAAATTTAAACTAATTTACGAAAGAATTTGATATAATAAAGAATTTCACGTAACTTTTGAACAAAAACGCCGGAATTAATTCTGAGGACGGCGTGAGGAGAAAAGGAGATGAAGATTAATCCTATTGAATTAGAACAAAATTCCAAACGACAGAATGGACGGCATTGTCAGACAAACCCCAAAAGAGAAAATGTGCGTCATGCGCATTAGGAATTTTGGATGATGCAACTGATTAGGCAGGGGGTTAGAGGAGGGCAGGGGAGATGGGGAGGAGGTAAAACAAGAGGAAAAAGATGAAATCTTTAAGAGAGATCGGCGAGAGGAGGGGAGGGGATTAGTAAGAGGGAGATAGATTGACAATACCGCGCTCCCGGTCGGCCGGGAGCAATCAAGGTCCTTCCTCCTAGTCGAGGAAGGTCTTCATTCAACCCCTAAAGGGTCTTCTCGATCGTTCCCCCGGTGGAACGACGAGGTCGCCGGATCGAATGCGCGCAATGAAGGTGAGAAGCCGTGACAATGATGATGTTGACAATGGCCGCGATGATGATGATGATGATGATGATGATGATGATGATCACTTGATGATGGCTGCGGCGAGATATCAACACTGCGTCCTTGTCATGGCCAATTAGGTAGGGGCAGTGGAATCTCGTTAATCCATTGGAGCGTGTGGATCGGCGGTATCAAGGATCAAAAGCCAATGACGATCTCGTGGCGAAGTGCTCAACTTGCTGGCAGGACTTGCTGGCGGGTGAGCAATCCAACACTTCGTGAATTCTGCTCCACAATGATAGGAGGAGCGACGTCGAACTATGAATGCTTGGTTGCCGCAAGCCAGTTGTCCCGTGGTAACTTTTCTGACACCTCTAGCTTCAAGTCCAGAAGCGTTAAAGGATCGATAGGTCGCGCTCATACAGTTTGTATTCGTATTGGGAATCAAAGTCAAATGAGTTGTTGTCCTTTCGCTCCTCACGAGAATTTTGTTCTCGTTGAGCGCAGCATAGGACACCGGGTTGGGGGGGCGGGGCGAAGCGGGCCGGGGAGAGAGCAGGGCGGGACGCGCACAGGCGGGCGGGAAAGGAGTGGAGCGGGCGGGGTTGGGATGAAAAGTGGGCAAAGCCGGGATCGGGGTTAGCAAAGGGAAAGGAGGTGCGCGGGGGGAAGTTGGGTTGGGATCGGGAGGGGGAATGGGGCAGAATCGGAATTGTAGAGCAGCGGGGGAAAGTCGGGGTCAGGGTTGGGAGTGGAATTGGGAGTAGGGGAAAGGTCCAAGAAGGGGAGCGAAATCAGGATCAGGCAGGGGGGACGCGGCGCGGTCGCGCGCACGTGCGCGCAGGGGGAAGGGTCGGGGTCGCAGC